AGAAGTAGTCAAATTTCAAGAAAAATCTGAAGAGTGGAGTAAAAAACAGAAACAGGAGTTATTGGATAAAGTAAAGGATTTAGAAGAAAAAATTAAGCAACTAGAAGAAAACAGGAAATTAAAAAGGAAAAGAATGGTCAAATTGCTCAAATTGATGTCAAAGAGACTAAAAGATGGTCTTGATTGAAAATAAAAAAGTAATTGAGGAAATTTCCCTCTGTATAAATTGAAATTCATTCCACCTATTAAAGAAAACAATAGTTATTTTCCATTTAAAGATTTTTGCTTTTTGTTAGGTAATAATGCATCATCATGATGTTTTCTTTTTCCAACATTTATTATTTTTCTTTCTTCTTGGTAAATTTCATAGGTAATCCTTTCTTTTCTTAGATAAGTTTCCAGTGTCTGAGTATCATTTATTTTGAAAATATAAGGAGCAATTTTTTCACCTTGTTCTTCTTCAAAATACTTCTAATGGTGCTGTAATTCTTGGGCTCCATTGTAGATCTGATGTAAATGAGTTTCATATTAATTATTTTTGTCTAGAGATAATCCTATATATCACTTAAGGTAACAAATGGGATATTATAAAACTGTTAATTATAATCACATTACAAATGACTAAATTTTGATCCCTGTAATTCTTGGTAATACTAATGTTCACTTTGTCTGGTTTTGTTGCAGCATGCCCCATTTAATAATCAAGTTCAAAAAATGGTGTTTCCAGATGGTCAACCAAAAGGTATGCGTATTGTTTTGCAAGAGTGAAATTTATGGAGAGATGGGTTACGAGCATTTTGTGGTAATGATTCAAATGAAAATAATGATTGTTGCGCTCGTCATATTCTGGAAGCCCAGCCTGATTTTCTAGCTCAAAAACCATTAATTCAAGAAATAATTGAGCAGAGGGGACACAAAGTAATATTTTACCCAAAATTTCATTGTGAACTGAATTTTATTGAGAGATACTGGGGAGAGGCCAAACGATATGCAAGAAACAATTGTGATTATTCTTGGAATGGATTGAAAAAGGTGGTTACAAAAGCATTGGATTCTGTATCACTAGAACATATTAGGAAATATGCTAGATATTCTTTTCAGTACATGGATGCTTATAGGAATGGACTTACAGGTGAGCAAGCAAAATTTGCAATTAAGCAATATAAATCTCATAGAAAAGTAACCCACAATATTTTTAATAATGAAAACAATGAGTAAAAATTTCTGTAATAAAAAAATATTATGTGATTTGTGGATCTAACAACATTACACCTGTGTTCATATATAATTTTCAAATTTGGCCACTTATTATGTCAATTGCTGGGACTAGACTAGACACACCATACTACTATATGATGTGTACCTTTTTTGGGCTTACAAGAATGTCAGGGGACACAAAGTAATATTTTACCCAAAATTTCACTGTGAACTGAATTTTATTGAGAGATACTGGGGAGAGGCCAAACGATATGCAAGAAACAATTGTGATTATTCTTGGAATGGATTGAAAAAGGTGGTTCCAAAAGCATTGGATTCTGTATCACTAGAACATATTAGGAAATATGCTAGACATTCTTTTCAGTACATGGATGCTTATAGGAATGGACTTACAGGTGAGCAAGCAAAATTTGCAATTAAGCAATATAAATCTCATAGAAAAGTAACCCACAATATTTTTAATAATGAAAACAATGAGTAAAAATTTCTGTAATAAAAAAATATTATGTGATTTGTGGATCTAACAACATTACACCTGTGTTCATATATAATTTTCAAATTTGGCCACTTATTATGTCAATTGCTGGGACTAGACTAGACACACCATACTACTATATGATGTGTACCTTTTTTGGGCTTACAAGAATGTCATGATTTTTTTGATTTTTTTTGTAGAAAAGACCAATTAAATTTTGAGGTGTGACTGTAAATTATTCTAGAATTAATTTCCATTTATGGTATAATTCCAGACTGTAATTACCATAAGTATGTAATTATCATAGTTAATTACCATTTTCCTCTTTAAAAACATAATTACGAAATTAATTGCCGTATTGCAGGTGACAAAATTAATTACAGGTGACAAAACTAATTACGGGTGACAAAATCAATTACAGGTGACAAAACTAATTACAGGTGACAAAATCAATTATGGGTGATGAAATTAATTATGAATAACAATGAATTAATTATTGGAAATATCATAATACAAGTCACTCCTGTTATAACAACACTCTCCATACAAACAAAAAATGTCAGTATGATGAGAATGTCATTATAACGGGAGTTCATATAGAAGTCATATTAATATGAGAATCATTATCACGTGATTTTGTGATTTTATTTTTATTATATATATATTTTATTTTTATTTCATTCATGTTTTATCAGGAAATTTAAAACTTACACGGGTCAAAATTGACCAACATTATACAGAAGTGTTATCAGAATTTTCCATGGTGCCAATCAATCTTGATCCCAGCGTAAGTTTTATTTCCTTATTATTATGTTTTTTCAGAAATGAGAATGATTTTGATTGGTTCTCCCATTATACTGACATGTCATTATAACAGAATAAATTCTATAATTCTAAAAAAAGTTGCCAAATTATGTCATTATACTAGTATAACAAGATAAATAATAGGTGTCATTTAATTTCATCATTCATAATTGATTTCATCACCTGTAATTGATTTTGTCACCCATAATTAATTTCGTAATTAATTTTGTAATTATGTATTACGTATTACATATTACGTTTTTGGCAAAATAATTACCATCCCATGTATAGTTTTGATTTGGTTACATATTTTGTAATATATTTGGCAAATCCAGTAGAAGTGACATACTGAAAGTTAATATGGGCTTTCCAAAACAACAAAGTCTCTGGGTGATATGGAATAACCATTCTGTCTTCAGGTTTTGTTCTTTGGTAAATATAACATAATGAATTTGGTGAACAATGTGTTATTTTAGATAAAGGTTGGGGAATCCCTTAGAACATTGCTTGTTCTCATAGCCTTCTGGTCTGCACCTTTGATCACAGTGATGAATCTGAAACATTGTAACCAAGTTAAATAATTCAGTTTCAGTATTTGGGTCTGGAAGGTCAGCTCGAATTCTATTTAATAAGATTAATTCAGGGACTTTTTTTCGGTATAAGCAAATCCATGAGTGTGAATAGATCCATAGTTTTGAAATTCATCACGTTCAAAGTAGTGCATCCATTTTCCCCACTGAACTAAGTTTGGATTTTTCCACAATTTATTGCGAACATTGGTCAAACTGTGTCAATAATGTAGATAAGTGTGCAAAGGACAATTGCTAGGGATAGTGTCACCACTATCAGAATTTTTCAGAATTTGATTTAAATGTAGCCATTTATTTTCACCCATTGTTAAAGTATAGAAAATTTGAGGCAGCCCATAAGCATTAGTGGTATAATTGTAGTCTGTACAGACTACAATTATACCACTTAGTTCGGACTATAAACCACCCAAGAATGACGGCCATTTTGATTTTGCCTCGTCATTCGAATGACGTACGTTTTGCATTTGCCTCGTCAAAGATGGGATGTTTATAGTCTGCTTATCGGATGACGTATGTTTTGCATTTGCCTCGTCAAAGATGGGATGCTTATAGTCTGCTTATCGGATGACATACGTTTTGCGTTTGCCTCGTCAAAGATAAGACGTTTATAGCCTGCTTATCAGATGACGTACGTTTTGCATTTGCCTCGTCAAAGATGAGGCACGTAGTGCCGAATCGTTATCTATTATGTTATCTTAGAATGAGGCACGTAGTGCCGAATTGTTATCTATTATGTTATCTTAGAATGAGGCACGTAGTGCCGAATTGTTATCCTATTTGGTAACCCGAGGATGAGGCA